GTGAAATATTATACTTCTACGACTCTTATTTAATATATTTTTGATGAGAAATGGCAGTCATCAATTATTTCTAGCTAGAGTATTGCGTTTTGAAAGTTATTGTATATCTTTTAAAATGTAGCGATATTATTACTCAAAAAAATAAAATTGTAAAAATGTGTATATTTAATTTATTCAGATAGTCTAAAATATGATAAAAATATATATAAAATATGTTTTAAAAAAACATATTTTATATATATTTTTTAAAGAAATCCTAATCTAGTTTTGAAATTGTTTGAAAATCATTTAAAAAACTCTGTGGTAAGTACATTTATTATTCAAACCAGATATTTTACAACAAAAAATATTAAGTTTATATTAACCGCTTAACCGGAAGTATAATGGCAAAAGAATTTTTGTTAATATCTCAATAAATAAATTGATTTAGTAATTTTAATTAACATAAAAATTTCTTTTTAACTTAAATACAAACATACATTTTTTAATAGTCTGGGTGAATAAAAAAAAAGTAAATTACTTGCAAAATGCTTTTACTCAGCATTTTTCAAGTAATTTACTTTTTTTTTTTTCAGCTTTTATGTAAAAATTTTTTTTAGGGATTTTGCAAAAATTTTTATTCATTATTCACTATAATAGTAAAAAATATTATTAATATATAAATAATTAATATACATATATTTACAATATATACAAATAATTAAGTTGACATAAATTTTTATCAAATTAATATAATTCTAAACATGTATAGTCAAAAATTCTAAACTTGTATAGTAAAAAAATTCTAAACATGTATTGTAAAAAATTCTAAACATGTATAGTAAAATAAGCTCATTAAACCTCTATAATCTATAGCCAGGATATGATAACCCATTTTAGAAAGACGCTAAAAAAAAAAACAAAAAAAAACTGAATATTATAACTAGCATGTGGTTTGCATTGAATTCACTCATATTATACTATACCATTATATAAACACAATAAGTTTCTACCTTATAAAAACGTATTCGATAATCCAGTGCCCTATGGAAAAAAACTATTCATAAAAAAACATTCAATACCTTATAAAATTGAACTCGATGATGCATCGCTCTATACAAAACAAATTAAACAGCTTGTTATATTTATTAAATTTTTTGGTTTTTTGCAAAATAAATGCAAAAATAAAAAGCAAAAATCGTACCTAGAACCCATATTTCCATGTAAGTAGAGAATATAAGCTTCTCTAGTGATATATTGCTGTGATGCGGGTGAAATAAACCTTTGAAGATAAAATTTAAAAATATTATTTTCAAACACTAGAAGAAAAAACAATAGAGAATTAAAAAAAAAAAAATGAAAATAAAATTTTAAAAAACTAAAAATTAAACTTAAGTAAAATTTTAAGTGAAAACTATTTGTAAATGTATTTACAGTGCTTGGAATTATATATAAAATAAATAACTTTGTAACTTTAATTTTTTCTAATATTTTTGTTTAATGCAAACACTTTTAAATAAAGTAATTTTTAAGATTATTTTTAAAAGTATTATTACTTTTCATAATAAAAATATACTATTTAATTCTCATGAAAATATCAATCAATTATGCAATTGCCGACAAACCACCTTATGCCCAATCAGTGGAAAATGCCTCACAAACATCTAACTTTGTAACTTTAATTTTTTCTAATATTTTTGTTTAATGCAAACACTTTTAAATAAAGTAATTTTTAAGATTATTTTTAAAAGTATTATTACTTTTCATAATAAAAATATACTATTTAATTCTCATGAAAATATCAATCAATTATGCAATTGCCGACAAACCACCTTATGCCCAATCAGTGGAAAATGCCTCACAAACATCTGGTCAGTTCAGGTTATCCTGATACTGGTAACATGAAACCCAGTCTACCTGCTTCATGTTCTGTTGCCTTGCAGGTTACACTTTTTAAAGCAAAGGGTAGGAGATACCAACTCTGACCACCTTGGTTGAGTAAAGACTAGAAATTATGATAAAAATACAGAGCAGATGTTAAACGCATCCAGCTACTGTTTAGTAGAAGGCCTCCTCGGCAAAGTCCTAAGCGCTAAAACAGATTCTATCTGTTGACCAGCCTCACACCCTTTCTTCATCTATTAGGCTGGCATAGATGTATTTATAATACATTGTTTCCAGTTTAGGATATTGAATACTGGATCTTCTTGGCTCAATGCATGGGTTTTGCTTATGTCTCTATTTTTATGACTAGGCAACTCATTCTATTATCTCCTAATGAAGATACAGCTCTAAAACTCAGTTTTATAATTCTGAGGCCGACTGGTAGTCAGGTTTTTTTGAACTATGTTGTAATTCTCTAATTTCCTCAACAGCTGTAAAACATTTGCAAAAAAATTTGCTGATTACCTCGACAGCTGTAAAACATCAGAGTACTAACAGTGCCATGTTGCGCATGTATGGTGTCCCTGTTACATTTGGTGTGCATTGTAGATGCCACATTTGGAGCCTCTACAATGCACACCAATTATAAAACACAAAAAATCATTGTCATCACCAAGTTCTCTAAATCTATCATTCACTAATATTCATGGTCTTTGAAGTAACTTTTTTTCTGTTGAGTCTTACCTCTTGCAAAGTTCACCAGACCACTTTTTGAGACTAATTTGAGTTCAGCTGTCTCATCTTGTGGTCTTAGTATTGATGGTTATCTTCCTTTAATTCGTAAAGACTCCAATAGCTACATGCTTAGCCTGGGCATTTACATTTGTAAGAATTCACAGATTTATTGGGAAACTAGGTTTGATCCACATCCAATTCTTTCAAGTGCTCCACATCCAATTCTTTCAAGTGCTTTTGTTTAGCACCACTTCACTCGCCTTTTTTTTTTTGTTCTATATTGCTCTTCTTCATCTTAAGACTTCACTCTTTTTGATTTTATTCTGATAATATTGACCATAATATTAATAAGACCTTTCTTTTTATCCTTCAACCATTATCGTTGCTGCTAATGATTAATGCTCATTACACTGAATAGCTTGGCTCTAGTGTCATTGACTCTGCAGGGGTTAAGGCCCACAACTTTTGCCTTTCTCAATCACTAACACAAATAGCCAACTTTCCAACTTGCTTTCCAGATAATCCGAATCATTTAACTTCTCTACTCGACTTATGTCTTGTTTCTGATCCTAGTCAGTGATTAGTTTCTCTAAATTCACCATTAGATGTTTCTGATCACAGTTTGATCTCTGTAAAATTATTATCTCACTTTTCTTCATCATCAGAATCCCTCTATCATAATACATCAAACAACTACTTTAAAGATGACTGGGATTCTTTCCATGATTTTCTTCGTGATGTCCCTTAAGTAGCAATCCTTCTTCTTCCTACTGACAAATGTGATTCTTACATAATTTCTTGGATTCAGGCTAGCACAAATTCCTTTATTCCCTCTCAACAATTCCAAGTTGACCCTCACTGTTCTTCATGGTTTTCGTCTCATTGCGCTGCTGCAATTTCAAACCGTAACCATTACTTTCATATCTATCAGCAAAACAATTCTCCAAAAAACAGATATCTGTTTACTGCTATCTGATATCTATAAGATGTGCTATAAGATATCTGCTAGAAATCATTGTAAAAATGTTTTATCTAATGCCTAAGCCCACTATTCTCAGGTCACAAAATCTTGTATTTCAACTCAAAAATTAAGCTCTTGTGACTTCTGGAAAATCTTTAACAGTATCTATAACAAGGGCAAATCTGTTATTCCACCTCTCTTGTATGATTCAGATTTCGTCACCTTACCTAAAAACAAGACTAAATTGTTTGCTTAGAACTTCTCATCATCATCATCATCATCATCACATCATCATCATCATCATCATCATCATCATCATCATCATCATCATCATCATCATCATCATCATCATCATCATCATCATCATCATCATCATCTCTTGATTCCACTAATCACATCCAACCTAATATAGTCGACAAACTGATTGATCCATTGCTTGACATTCGTATCTCTCCAGCTTCTGTGGAGAGATACGAATCTAAAGTGATTTTCTGCTTAGACTCTTCTACAGCTTATGGTGCGGACAACATACCTGTTATAGTCTTGTAGAAGTGTTCTCGGAGCTGTTATCTATACTTTCAAAACTAATTAACAAGTGCTTATCAGAATCATGTTTTCCAGCCTGCTGGAAAGCAACATTAACATGCACTTAATCTATCATCTTTAATCATACAACTTACTTACTTCAATATAGCTTTTGGTCTTCTTGTTCTACTGCTGATTTGTTAACTGTAATAACTGATAGGTTTTATCGTGCATAAGATAGATGAGGAGAGGCTAAGCCTATCACTCTCAACATTTCTAAAGCTTTTGATAAAGTTTGGAATGCTGATCTTCTCCATAAGCTTTCTTCTTAAAGTGCATCAGGTAATATCTTTAAGTTTATTGAATCCTTCCATACCAATTGTAGTTAAATATATAAAAATATTTTTTATTCAAAAAAATTTAAATCCAGTGTTATTTTATCATATAGAACACATTAAGATAGTGGCAGCATAAATTTTTTTAAAATGCTGTTATTTGGGACACCCTAGTGTATATACACACACACTCGAATGATCGTTTTTAATTTTTACCATAAAATGTCGATATTATTATTATTTATTAAAGAGATTGAAAACTTAAAAAAAAATTGACAGATTGCCTACTTAAACAAAAACCCTCAGTCGATATATCAAGCTATACATGTACACTCCCTGTATGTTCTGTTTATTTAAGTCAGTCAATGTATGTACACTCCTTGCATGTTCTGCTTATTTCAACCAGTTAATGTATGTACACTCTCTGCATGATCTATCTATTTAAGTCAGTCAATGTATGTAAACTCTGCTGCGCTAATTTTTTTTTTAAAGTTTCACTTAGTTATTAAATTTACTTTGTTAGTAAGTTTTTAATATTACTAATTTATTTTCACTGTAAAATTATTTTATTAATTCAGGTTTTACAAAATGCTGTTTTGGTTAAATTTAATATTACAAGCCATCAGTAAAATGTATTGAATAGCCTTCATTAGTGAAATCAGAAAATCGACTTTGCATATCCTGTCATATAATACTTGATATATACATACACACTCTTTAATTAAATTAATTTAAATAAACACACACACACTGATAGTAAGAAAGTTTTGCAATAAAATATTGCTTTAAATCGAACACTTAACAAATAACAAGACAAAAATAAAAAAACTCTTTTTTTTTTACTTCTAATTAAAAGATTGCCTGCCTAAACGGAAATCCTCAGTCAATGTATGTACACACCATTGCACTAATGGTTATATTAGTCAATCTATGTTTATTTCATTGAACTTAAAAGTTGGCTCTGATTGATCCTGCTATCTTTAAATATATATATATATATATATATATATATATATATATATATATATATATATATATATATATATATATATATATAATATATATATATATATATATATATATAAAATAATGATCAAAAATTAAGTATTAATAAATACTGGTATTGAGTGATCAATACAGAGTAGAATAAATTATATTATGTAAAACTAAATAAAACCTGATAATTTAAGAAACATGACTCAGAGTTTCCACATTTCATCAAAAATGGAAAATTGTTCATATAGCCCAACCATTTAAACCTGGAGGAAAAAATGCAACCTTTACTTAACTGAAAAGTAATACATTAGTATTACTTTTCAGTTAAGTAAAGGTTGAAAATTGTCAAAATTTAAAAAATTATACAAAAGAAATGAGCTGGTATCAAAATGTTGCCATTATAATAAAATTTTTATAAACAACTTTACTGTCATCAAAGTGGACACAAATTATTTTTTGTGATTTTTTTTTTTTGTCAAGATATTATATAACATCTGATAATTCCCTAAGGCATAAAACTCAGAGTCAGGTTTCTTTAATTGTCAGGTGTTATTATTTAATTTCACATAACATATATGTGTGTGTGTGTTTACACATTAGGGTGTACTACTTACTCAGGTCAAAACCTAAAAAATTCAGATTTTCTGTTGGTATTATTAAACAAAAGGGTGAGGTCTAGCTTAAACTTATTTAAGTTTAAGCTACCAGGGAACTGACTTGAAAATTGCAAAAGAGGTTATTTTTTCATATTTTCAGGGTCAATTTGAACATTTCTAGACTTGAATAAGCTTTACAACAAACTTATTTTATGACCTTTACAACAAACTTATCTACAGAAATTAATACAAGATAAGCATAATGCATTTAGTAGTTAAAACAGTTTCAGAAATTTTGATTTACAGAATATTAAAAAAATGGAAAGAGGGGAGGGGGAGGCTTTTTCCAAATTTTGTACGTAATAACTTCAGCACATATTTTGTTAGGTCATTTTCCAATTAGCTAAACATAAAACTTTATTTTTAAAAATCTTTTTTAAACATTTAGTATACAAGTTATTAATTTTTATATACTGTCAGTGAAGTTATCAAAAGGAACTACAGGGGAAGAAGATACTTTTTAATTTTTATGGTTTTTAAAGTGGAATATGATTTGAGAAATATATATAGTTATATATTATAGTTTTTGAGTCTTTTTTTTGAGTCTTACAATTTTGGAGTCTTTAGATCAATTTTATTCATCGCCATTAACATGAATTTAGTTTAAATCTTTTGAAAAAGTTCCTTAATTTACTACTGATCCTAGTTCTAATCTGTTTTGAAGTGTATTAACTATATATAGTTGTCAAAACACAATATTTCTATCAATTTTCACAAAAAATACTAGAATTACGACTAAGAAAGAGCTTATAATTATGTAAAATTGCCAATAAACGATCAGAACAGATCATATTGTTAAACTATAATGTTCATTTCACCTAAAAAAAGTATTAATTTAAAATCTTATTCAAATTTGGACAAGCAATTGTGATTTTAAGATGTTTTTTTTTTAAAAAAAAAAAAATTTTCAGTCTGGATTTTTTTGCTACAAACATTTATATTTTATGATGCCGCAAAATTTATCATTTTAATATTTTTCATCTTTTCATAAATCACAGACCTGACCATTTAATGAAAATATGTCGTAGTAAACAAAATATCTTACAGACGCTATAATATTTTAAAATTACCTTAACTACACCGAGAATGCTAAAAATTAAATTTTACTTAACAAATTTTTTAGTTAATAACCTTAATTATTATAATACTTGTTTTCTCTTTGATTAGTTTAAAAAGAAAACTTTTTAAAAATATTTTCTAGAGGTAAAGTATTGCCACTTTTTTTTTTTTTTAGCCCAGCAAGAAAAGATAGGAACTCTTAGTTCTTATCAACTTGGGCCTGCTGATTTGATGGTGTCAAAAAGGTTAATAAAAGTAGATAGTAGCAATAAAAAAAAAATAAAAACACATTACTCAAAATGAAATTAATGCTCAAGATAAATAAAATAGCAAACATGAAATTTTTGAAGAGTTTAATTTTGATGAAAATGAGATTTCTATTCAAAACTCAGGTACAAAATGTTTAAAAAAATCTAGAAACTATGAAGATATCGCTAATATTACATTGGCCAGTTTTAGATATAGTTTTAAATCTTATCTTTTAATGACATGATGATTTAACTTTTGCTTTGCTTGCTGCTATATTTGCCTTGTAAAGATACAAACAAGTTCTTTATATAAGTTGAAAAGAACTAGCTACAACATATTTTGTAAATATTTGTAGCAGTTCTTTATTTTTAATTTTATAAAGTTAAATTAGCATGAAATAAAAACTGAATTAAACTCATAAACACGAAAAAAAATATTTGTGTGCAATTAAGAAATTTTCTGATTAAAATTGTTCCCTTGAATAAAACTTATACAGGGTGTTATAATTTGAATTACCTTTTTAAAGTTGCACTATTTAAATTGTTTGTACAAAAATAGTTTCTGTTTATTGACAGCTATCAAATATAAACATTGTCGTTAATAAATATAGAGAAGCATATAATTGTACAACATTGTTGTTCAATTGTATGCTTCATCTTCATTGTTGATAACTATCTTAAGTTTAGTAGAAATTTTGCAGAAGCTGGGAGAAAACTTTGCACAAAAATGGAAGAAGAAATTGTTCATCAAACTTCACCATTCAAAAAATAGCAAATAAATTTGACCAAAATGGCTTAATTTATTATTCAAGATCAAAAAATTTAAATTTTTAGCTGTAGCAGTTGCTCTAAAGAAATTATTGCTGCTGCCGGTGAAAGTGTTGATGAAAAGCTAAACACATCAATTCGTCATCATTCACAGAAGCTATGCATAAAGCAAACCACTTTATTAAATGATTATTATTTGCATATTAATAATGCATTATGCATTACATGACTGTGTATTGCACTTATGCACTGAATAAATATAGTATAAAAATTCAAAGTAATTTATTATAAAAATTTAAACAATTAAAACTTACCAAGCCCCAAGTTTTCCAGCATATCCATTAAGGTAGACTTGCTCACATTTCACTAGCCCAAAGTCTTTGCATGATGATAGATTTGCAAACCAAGGAGAACGAACTGTAAGCAAAATTTTATTTACAAATAACTTTTTATTGAAAAATGATTTAAAAAAAATAGATTTATTTTAAATAAAAAACAGAAGAACTAAATGAAAATAATTATTTTTTTGCTATTATATATATATATATATATATATATATATATATATATATATATATATATATATATATATATATATATATATACATACATATATATATATATATATATATATATATATATATATATATATATATATATATATATATATATATATATATATATATATATATATATATATATATATATATATATATATATATACAATTACATTATACTTGGTAATTACTGTACATTGTAAATTGTACATTATTATGATTATTAGTATTGTGGTATTAGACAATACTACAATACTTTGATTTTTATTTAGGGCTGCATGACAATTCAGTCATCCAGGTCATATTTTAAAAATATTTTTGCAAAAAATTTTTCCAGATTTTTATTTTTATTTTTTTTTTGGAAAAAAAAAAAAAAAAAAAAAAAAATTCATTTCCCTTATACTTGTCTTAATACAGTTTTAAACTGATGGCTTTCTCAACTCTTTAATACTTTTTTTTTTTTTTTTTTTTGTATGAGCAACAACTTAAAAAGTTAAAAACAAGTATACTGCAAAAATATATACTCAAATTTAAATTTACAGAAAATTTTTTTAAAATCTAGAAAAACTAAAAGCTAAAAGACATATCTGGAAAAATTTTCTTGAAAATTTCAATTTTGATTAAGTAAAATATATTTGTTTAATGGTTTAATACATTAAAAATACAAACAACATATTTATATACATAACTACAAAAATAAAGACTAAAATATATTTAACATAAAATACATATTACTTCTATGTGAATAAATAATTTCCATTTTTACTTCTTTTGAATATAAAACTAATGCAGAAAATGCAATGTAACAAAACACCAAAAATGTAAGTACAGACCAAAGAGACCACATGAGCTTGGAAAATACAAGACTCCTAAAATAAAATTAAAAAGCAAATTAAACTGTGCAATATACATTAATAAAATACCAGGCTTTGTGAGAAGTATTTTGAATTTTACATATGAAATGGCTATTTTACCTACCCATAAAGCCTATTACAATTTTACCTACCCATAAAACCTATTTACAATTTTACCTACCCATAAAGCCTATTTACAATTTTACCTACCCATAAAGCCATTTACGTTATACCAAAATTTTTTCAATTAGATTATTTAAACAGTCTTTTAAAACAGTTTATGCAAAAAATATTAAACAGTAATATATTGTTGTAAAAAATATTTTCATCACAATTACAAAATAATATTTTTTTAAGATAAAAAAACAGTAAATAAACTATTTTCAGCTTTCTGTTTTTAAAAAATTTAATTTAATTTAGATTTATTTTATTATATTTAAATTAAATTTATTATTAATTATTAATAAATTCATTTTATTAAAATTTAATTAAAATTAAAAAAAAAAATTTATAATATAAAAATTTATAAAATTTAAAAAATTTATAATATATAAATTACCGGATAATTTGTCATAATCAAACCTGTAATCAAAATTATTAGACTTATTAAAACTCTTTTAACAAACTTTACATAACAAGTATATGAAAAGATTAATTTTTAAATTTTAAAATTGCTTTTTAACAAAAGTTTTTTCTTTATCATTAATTTTTTAGATTAATTATAGTAAAAATTTCGATTAGAAATGATTAACTAGTTTATGAGTTGTATGCAAAGATTTTGTTAAAACTTTTGTTAAATGTTAAAAAAAAAATGTTTTTATTTTTTGATCATTAAGAAATTCACTTGTAACCAATTGCCCCCTCATTGAAAAAAAATAAATAAATAAATTGTGAGAAAGCAAACATAAGACAAATGTTTCTAGAAACAAATAGTATAAGTTTAACAAAGTATAAGTTTTTTATATAAGGAATTTTTTTTTTTTCAAAACAACATAATTAAATTCTAACGATAAATTTTTTTGTAACAAAATTGTTTAATTTAAAGATATTTTATAAATACTTTATAAAATAAAGATTCAAACTTTTAATATGGTTTCAAATTAACTTTAATTACAATGCCATATTTTAAAATATGCAACCAACGTTATTTAACTTTTAAAATTGTAAATATGTTTATTGAGTAAAGTTACAATTACTTGTGTTACGCTTTTCTGTTACATAACAAGATCTCACAACAAGGCCTGAAATACTGCAATAAAATTAAAGACCAACCCTCGGAATTAGGGTCGGCATTCGGCAATGCCGACCTAACTGCCGACCTAAACATGTTTGCGGTTGGCAAAAAAAATTCGGTTTTGCTGACCTCATTTTGATGTTTTATGGTAAGACCTTTGACCTTTGTATTTGCCAACCTAATGCCGACCTCTAAAAGATTGAGGTCGGCAAATTAATGTGTGTGTGTGTGTGTATATACAGTGGTGTAAACTGGATTTTTAGTTGTTTGAGTTTTGACACTTACAGGCATTGTGAAAACTTTAAACTTTTGTATCTTCATGTTTATGTCGAATGAAAATGCTTTGCAAAGAGTTGTGGCGATTGGAGCTTGGGGACAAAAAAGCCCTAATTTTTGGGCCCACCCAGCCCATAACATGAGAGCAACAAGTTTATAAAATAATTTTCTTAGTATTTTATTCTAAGTTTATATTCATCAACAAATTTCAAATTTCATGCAATAATCTCATAGTGTTCAGTTCTTATGACCATTCAAAGTTTACAGCCCCCTCAAATTGAGGGGGCTGTAAACTTTGTATAAACTTTATATGGTCATAATTTTCAAAAAATAAGAGATTGCATGAAATTTGAAATTTGTTGATAAATATAAACTTATATAAAAGTACTGAAAATTTTTTTTATAAACTTGTTGCTCCCATGTTAAGGGCTGGGTGGGCCCAAAAATTAGGGCTTTTTTGTCCCCAAGCTCCAATCGCCGCAACTCTTTGCAAAACATTCTCATTTGACATAAGCATGAACATACAAAAGTTTGGAGTTTGCACAATGCCTGTAAGTGTTAAAACTCAAACATCTAAAAATTCAGTGTACACCACTGATTTATATATATATATATATATATATATATATATATATATATATATATATATATATATATATATATATATATATATATATATATATATATATATATATATATATATATATATATATATATAATATATATATATATATATATATATATATATATATATATATATATATATATATATATATATATATATATATTATATATATATATATATATATATATATATATATATATATATATATATATATATATATATATATATATATATATATATATATATATATATAATATATATATAGGCAATTTCATTTTTAACTTACATTACACGCTTATCAACTTTATCAAATATTTGCCTATTTAAACTGAAAATTAAACTTTTAGCTATTTTGTATGAAAGCTGTTATTCTAAAGAATAAAATAAGCTAAAAAGTTTTGAGTCTGGCCAAGATGTTAAGAATTCTATACTAATTTAAAAAATATATAAAAGTTTATCAAAGATGACAGGCTAAGAAAAATAAACTTGCTTTTTGATACTATATATTTAACTTTCGCTACATCACTTACATTACTTAGCAATTTTTATCGTGGATTTTTATATCTATAATTAGGAGTTGAAGTTACGTATCAAAAGAATTGGAAAAGTATTGATCTCATTTATTAAAAATAATTAACAAAGGAAATTTTAAAAAACTGGTGGCACTCTTCCTGAGTGATTTTTCATAACATTTATGAAAGTTATCAAATCAAAAATAGTTTTTCCGCAAGACCAAGAGCAACTTTAAAAAATTATTTTAGTATTACAACTTTATTAATACTTATTTGAGTCATTTAAGTAAGAAAATCTTTGGTTTGTCAAAGTTTTTATTTACACTTCTAACGTTTATGCGCATTGCTATATTTTCATTTGGTTGAATTTTTAAAAATGTTGCAAAGTATTTTTATTTTAACCTTTTAAAATTTATTTGATGTAAAAACTGCTAACATAGATTAGGAGGGAGAGGGGGTTCAGGTATATGTGATTGTGACAAGAGGAAAAGGTTAAGAATTGACAAATATAGAGTTACGCGCTTTATGAATGACCACCCTTATTTGCTTTTTCAAAAGATTTGTTTCACTAAAACAAAAATAAAAAAGGTTCTGATTTTTTTATACTAGGAAAATAGCAAATTATTCTTTTTTTTTTTTTATGTCTGAATAAAAATATTTATATAGTTTTTTATTTTTATTCATTTTAAAATATTTATATAGTTCTTATCTTTATTCATTTATGTATACATAAACAAATTAAAAAAAAACAATAAATAATTTTAAGGAACATTAAAATAAAAATAAAAAAATATATTTTTTTTCTAAATTCTCCTAATATCAGTTAGAGTTTCAGTTAAAGTTAAAAATCAGTTTAAAGTTTCAGCTAAAATCTTGTCGACAAAATAAGAATTACTTAATGACATAATTCATTTTGTAAACAAAAACTTAACAAAAAAGTATCAGAACTTTAGTAAATGTATGTAGTTTTAACTTATGTTACAGAAGTTTAAAACAAAAATAACAATGCTTAGTTAAAGCCAGTAGCGTAGCGTCAAAAAATAGGCCATCGCTAAGCTTCCGGTTAAAACACATTAAAGTTTAAAAATAAAAATAACAATGCTAAATTTTTTAAAATTTTTAAAATGTAGTTAAAATTTTAAATTTAAATTTGTGTAATGTAAGTTAAACCACATGCATGTAAAGTTTTTGTTGCATACAAAATGAACAATTACGTTTTTACGTAACTTGTATTAATAATATAATCGATGGTATGTACTGTAGCCAATAAATATTCCTTATATTTATATTAAAAAGTCACCATTTTGAGCAAGTCTCCACACAAGAGTGCAACAAGTAAAAAAATAATATTGTTTTAGTTCGCTTAACTATAACTTTACCAATGTTTTAAATTGGATTTAAATGTAAATACTTTGCAGCATTTTAAAAATTCAACCTAATGAAAATAAGGAAATACACATAAACATAAAAAGTGTAAGTAAAATGTTCGAATAACTAAAAGATTTTCTTATTTAAATGACTTAATAAATAAGGTTGTCATACTGAAGTAATTTTTTAAAGTTGCTCTTCTTAATGCAGAAAAAATTGTTTTTGATTTACTTTATAAATTTTATGAAAAGTCACTCAGGTAGAGTTTTGCCAGTTTTATAAAATTGCCTTTGTTAATTACTTTTGATGAATGAGTTCAATACTTTTAGAATTCTTTTGTAAACTCTAAAAAATCTAACTCTTGGTAATAAATATAAAAGATCCAATACCGCTTGGCAACATAAGTGATATAACATAAGTTAACTATATAGTATCAAAAAAAAATTTATTTTCCTTAGCCGGTCACCTTAGATGAATTTTAAATTTTTTTCAGAATTGGTATGGAATTCTCAACATCTTGTGAAAATACAATCTGCTTTACTAATTCGCTGAAATCTGACCTAAAAGTTGAAACAATTATTTTTCCTTATTTTTGGCTAAAAAAGTTAAGTGGCATTTTCAGTAATAAGTTTGCTCTCTTTTGGCCAGACTCAAAACTTTTTAGCTAACTTTATTCTTTAGACTAACAGTTTTCATACAAAGTAGCTAAAAATTTAATGCAGGAATGTACCCTCATGGTTGTCCTGTGGCACGGGACAACTCGTTTTCTCCAATAGCGACTGAAATTTTTAAAAAATAACTGTCATCCAACCAGTTTGTTACTTACAAAAGCATGTTTATTAATAGAACTATATTTTGATCTATAAAGATTTTATTCCTTGCAATTACTTAAAAAAAACACTTTAAAAAGCATTTAAAGTAGTTCAAGTTAAATGATCATGAAATAAAAAATCCGGAAAAATATCTGGTCTTCAAAATTTTAGTTTATGTAAAACCGTGT